TCGCCGTCGTTCAAGTGGGTAGTTGGCTTTCAAGCGTGATCCGCTGTGGTGGAAATTACTCGTTTCCACCAGGGAGCAGTAACAATATTTTACGACTCCCTGGTTTCATCTCCACGCTCCAGAACTCCACGAAACGAGGAGTAAAGGTACAGCCAAGCTTATTCCATTTTCTCTGATGGATACACCTGCCAGCAGTGAACGGCAGCTGCTAGCAAGTCCGGTCGCCTTTCCTTAGCCACGAGACTCGCGTCGGACTGCAGACTTCTGAACGAATGCATGGCCATCAGCATTCGAATCTGGGCTTTGCGCAGGCTGAACAAGAACTAACGTACAGTACTGTACTGGAATTCATAACCATTTCATCGAGCTGTGCGATCGGAGCAGTTCCTAGTTCACTCACTCATTATGTGGGCTCGCTGCTCCATTCCATCGCTCTCTATCTCTCTCAAACTCAGTGCTAGAGTAGTAGAGAGGCCAAGCAGCGCATTATCCCCTCGGGGAAGTGGTATTTCAGCTCTGCTTGCCATGACAGTCATCACCTATGTTGCCAGAGTGCAACCATAGATTCCGCTCGGCTTGTTGTGAAAGGTCGCTTTCCTTGCATCGTACCTCTTTCATGGCATGCCAAGGAAGACCGAGAAAGTGATCGCGCCTCATCTCACGGTATTTTGTGCACAAACTAGTCCCTCAAAATCCATCACGAAGTTTTTGTTAACGAAGGAAGTAGCTTGTTCCGGTACGCTGTGGTGTGGTTCGTTTGCAGTCCCATGAATCATTTTATTTTTCGACCATTTTTGAGGTATGCCAATTTCAAGGTTCCTTCAGAAACTTGTTTGTGGGCTTTGCATAGTCAATCTACACCCCAAAGGACACTTAGGGCCGGGTTTCACTGCGGCTCCGCTGCTCCGCTGCTCGTCTTTCGCGGCTTGAAACGTCATCATTACCATAGTGACCGCGGCTCACCGCGAGCTTTTGCCACGATTCTTGACCAAAAACTGCGAGCCGCGGTCGCGGCTCGACCTGTTCCCCGTACTTTGCATTGTTTCGTACGCCAGAATTTTAAAATTCAACTTTTAATTCTTTGCGCAGGCCAGAACACGAGGATTTGTTTGATTTCGCGCGTGCACGCGCGCGCAGGCAGGTGAACATCATCAAAAAGTGTGGACCACGACCGCGGTACCGCGAATGGCGAGTGACAGTGGAACCGCGCTGCTCCGCTGCATGCAGCCAAGTGCCGCGGAGCAGCGGAGCTGCGGAGCCGCAGTGGAACCCGGCCCTTACCTGCAAAATTTCAGCGAAGTTGGAGAGATAGACTTGGACAAATTTTCTGGTTTTCTCAGACATGCTCTCATTTTGAACACTACACTTCCCATGATAACTAACAGTATGGCTAACACGACTGAGTTGAACTTTAGCGAGATAAGACTTCATGATGATACTTCCTGTGTTGAGGGAGAGTCCAGGAGTGTGACAGATGAACTGCTGCATCATTTCCTGGGGCTATCATGATCATGCCACAACTTTCAGAGCTATGTTTCAGTCATCATGAAAAACTGGTACTGTGAACTTGATTCCGCTTCATTTGAGCAGAGATAATTGAAATGAAGTCCCGAGAAACAAGAAATTGGGACCCAAAGTTCCCCTGTCATGGACCGTGACACATGACCTGCACTGTTCGATGTTAAACATTGCAACAATCACTGCATGTGGTGATGAATTGTACAATATTTACAGCTCACCCCAGCCCAGCTCACCCCAGCCCAGCTCACCCCAGCCGTCCTGACCGGCCCTTGCATCCCTTTGTGTCAGTGTTACTTCGAATGTCAACTAGGCTTTAGATCCATGCTTCAGTTTTGTTTCAATGGACCAAGTTTGATTGGTCATGCTCTTTTCATCTGTAATATTTTTCTGCATAAAACAGACACCTTCAAGACTAAACTTTGGGTCGTTGCCTGAGTAAAAGCAGTGTAACGACCAGCCAATTTTACGTATCACCCTGTACTCTGGAACACGACGTTGGCCAAACGTAAATAATGAATTCGGATGTGAAATAAATACTGTGGTAGGAAGAAGTGTGCCCTTCAAAGTCTATTTTGGCTATTGTTCCAAAGCAGAATCCTCTCCATTTGAAAAGAAGTGAAGCATATAAGAGAACAGCATCTACTTACTAATGCAGACCACCATCCTTGTTGAATTTTCATTCACTGTTTTAACATGGAGCATGCCGTGCTGGCCAACTTCAACAACTTGATTTTCAAAAATTGCCCAGAATTCTGAAAAACGATAGTGGACTGTCACCGGTTGCAAGAATTCGTACATGCACTTTGACTCATGGAACCAATGATTGTAGAAACTTCGTTTGCCGCAAAGTTCTGCAGCACGTTCTTTGTTTTGAGTGTACTTCGTGTTCTCAACCATAACCTCTGCCTGTATGTTTCCACATCTTGCATATAGCTTCACTGCAAGCAAAATAGAATAAAAAGAAAAAATTAATAATAATCAGTGACTAATTGACATACATACTTCTTTAGCACAAACTGTAAACCAAACACACCCAACTTCCTAATAGAGCCACGGCGAATAATGGGAAATATATGTGTCGTCTCGGGTTTGGTTGGTTGAGAACGAGCTGCCTCTTCTATCCTCGCCATGCCACACATCAAAACGAACTAGTCAAGTGTTTTTTCTCTAGAGCTAGAGAGAGAGAGAGCTTTTCATAGTTTACTTCAAGCGGCGATGGAAGAACTCAGAATGGAGAACTAACACTGACAACGAATGACTGACGACTGTCAACGAACGTCTGACAACTGATATGGCAAAAGGAAAACATAATAATTATTATTATCAGAAATTGGTGCCCTCGTCACCACAAAAAGTGGTGTACTCAGCACAAAAAGGTGCACGTGTCAGCAACAAAGCAGCGCAGCAGCATGTACGGGTCAGCAACACAGAGACACAAATACAGCAGCAGATACGACAAAGAGACAACACGTGCAGCCACATGTACACACAGAGACACAAATACAGAAGCAGCTACGACGAAGAGATAACACGTGCAGGCACATGTACAACATATGGGTTGTGATACAGAGATAAATAATGCTGAATGCACAGTCTAGACTCATACAAGTAGACGTTCAACCCAAAGCCACAAATGGACTAAGGCAGTTAACCCTTTCAGCCCTGACCGGAAAATCACCTCCCACTGGGCCAAAAATGGCAATTTTTGAAAATGCATATTCTGGTCCAAAATTGATTGGAGATGTTGGGCATAGACATATGCACTGTGAATCCAAAAAAAATTTGCAGGATTTCATTGTACGAGACTCATAACACCATATTTAGATATGCGACTTTTGGCGATTTTTCCTCAAAATTCATTCAATTTAGGCAATTGACGACAAAGATCAGACAAGCAATGGCAAGCAGTGCTATAACTGGTCAGTGTTGACTTCAGAATGGAGAAATGTCATATAACAAGCTTGATATGATCCTGGTGTTCTACGGCAACCTAGACTAGAGTACAGCAACTCGTTTTATACGGCGCTTGAATCATATGCGACTGCGCGATCCAGAATGGGTCTTTCTTTTTTCTTGGGCGCCTCGTAAAGCTTGAATCCTCCAGCAGCCCTACCTACTTCAAGACAAAACCATGTGATAGACAGTGAGGATGCCGAGTAACTGGAGTAGCAACCACAGCAACTGCATCGGCTATAATAGCAGCCGGTGCAGTGGCAGCGGTTGGCTCACTGTGCTCGGCGCATCCCAGGGTGAATCATCACTGGCCGCACGCGTACGTACGTACGCGGCACAGGTAAAGTCATATTGATAGAGAATGCAATACAGCTCGTTCTCTGATTTGGACACTCACTGGCAAGACAATCCAGCTACCAAAATAGTCTGAAGCATTCCCTAAACAGCCGAGTTCATACTGCGTACCGGTATACGTACGCATGAAAATTCAGGAAACAATCGGCTGTGCAATTTCTGATAGTGGTTCAAAATTGCACAATTGTTGACTATTCGGGATTATTCTGGATTCATATTAGATAGCAATCACCATCCTGTAGGTGCCTGGCTCTGTACTCAGCATACAATACTTACATGTATGCACATCTCTATTGTGATCTGCATGCACGTCTGACCAGTACACTTGATTTCAAATTCAAATATTTTCAAAAATCTGACCTTCAAATTTGATCGCAGTTTACTTGAGGAACTTCAGCAAACGGGCACACGACAGATAGCTCCTGCTCAGAACACCATGCCTAGGTGTCAGAGACTTCAGCATCGCTTTCCAAATCTCTTTGGTCTCCAGCATCCCCTGCGTCCGAGCCAGCTGCGATCTTTTGAATAGCAGCAAATTCGTAATCCTCAGAAAACGACTCCGACACAATTTCGCTGTCTCCAGAATCATCCTCAGAGTCATTACCCGCCTCACACTGCTTCACAGGACTCCTTCCATCGACACAGAGTAGTTGAGCTACTTACCTTGCCGAGAAACAGCAGGGCAAGATGACGAAAACGAACTTTGAGCAAAACAATTTATTTGAACGATATGCCAAAATACGCACTTCAAACTCGATGCTCGCGGCTGTTCTGCTGTGCAGACTGGCCACATAGGCTGCGTACACGTCGATCAGAATTCAGCCCACTGAGGAACAGTTCCAGGCCCCACTGATGTTGAGGCATCAGTACAAACGCGACGTACACCGAGGACGTATATATACGTCGTCAGTGGGGCAGGTGCACACGTCATGACGTATATATACGTCGACAGTGGTGAAAGGGTTAATTAAAATAGCTCAGTGGTTAGAGCATGGCTGGCTTCAAGCCAAGGTCCCTGGTTCGAGTCCTGGTGGTGACAGTCAATTTTTTTCTTCAAATGCAATACACATGACTGCACATTGTCATAGCAAACTAGGAAAACTCAAGTCGGTTTCCAATCAGACCAAGTCCCCGTTGCCCCCGCCGCCCACCGGCACTTCATTGTAATTGAATTTGTTATCAAGTTAAGTGAGCAAATAAAGATAGATGTCATACAAAGAGCTTCGAGTACCATCATGCTCACTGGCACTCACTGTGAGATCGTGCAGAGCGATAATTAATTTCAGGAGGCGTGGGTGGGAGGGAGAAATTGCAGAACAGGTGAATGAACACCGCAGCAGAGCAAGCAAGAGAAAGGGGCGATGGATGGATTTGTTCCTGCTTTTGATGGCTGTGGCCAACCAGGTGCATGCATGCCTTTTAGAGATCCTACTCTGGTTCTGCCCGTACTAGTAGTAGTAGAATCCTAAAGGACGTTTTGGCTCTTCGTTGAGCTCATTTAGTTATTACACATAGACACTCAGTGTCTTTCCACTCGGAAACAATTCTCCTCATACTTCAGTAAGAATCATTATCATTGTATCAGAGATACTTGAACTCGTGACTGTCCTCCAAGTAGTAATGATGAGGAAGCGTCTACATCACCACGGCTGGGGTAGATATTCCCACCAGCCGCACACGACGCAGAAAATGCTAGTGTCAGGATAAGGACATCGTGGAGGCGAATAGAGACATACCGTAGAAGTCTCCGGTAAACGAAAGCAATACGACAGGAAAAGAAGAAGACTGTATAACCATAAACGGGACAAGTCATGGCAGTAAGTATAGAACTAGAAAACGAATGGGAACAGGGTTGACTTGACATAGAACGTACATGTAACAATAAATCGTAGTGTTGTCTGACGGTAACACACAGTAGCAATAAATACTAGAAATGCATCGAAAGTGCAGCTGTCAAATCAGAGACAATGTACAGAGTGAAGACGCATGCAATATCTAACAATGCCCACCATCCGGGGTTTCCCGGGACAGTCCAGGGAATAGGGTGTTTGTCCCTGGGTCCAGGGATATCCTGTAAAAGTCCCGGGTTTTTGATGGAACTTTTCGATGTTTTTCTTATTTTTATGACTAGATCCATTTGTTGTGTTGTGCTTTTGTTTATAGTCGTTCAACCATTTTCTGTTCCCGGGAAAAATCGCGATTCCGTGGCCGGGTTTTTTCCCGTTTTTTTGCGATTCTTTAACCCTTTCAGTGCTAATGACGAGATATCTCGCTCTGTAAAGTGTACCTGAACGGCGGATGACGAGATATCTCGCTCCGCTGCCCACGCAATAGTACAAAGTGCATATATCACTGTACGAACTGTCGTAACTGTTGTCAACGACGGCCGATTTTCACACACGATAAACCGTTGTAAAGGTATTGAGCTCAGCTTTCCAGTGATATAATGTTCTTCGCGATAGGACTAGATTTAATGAGCGGTGACGACTAGAATTGCAAAAAGTCAAAAATACGCTTTTTGGCCATCTGTTCAAACTTTTTGGTCGTGACTCGCTTTTTTAAGGCATTTCCCTTTGCTACAGCGCATGCGTGTTGGACATCAAACAAATTGCTTGGATCTTAGCTTTGGACCGCAGTTTGAATCGTGAAGTTTCGTCTAGTTTGAGCGAGATGGCGAACAAAAATGTATTATGAAGTTGTTTAGTGATTCTGAGACATGCAAGGGCATCTTCTAGAGCACATGGAAGTGACGCTGGCATGCCTAAGGAGCTGGGAACTACCAGGGAGTCCTTGCTTGGCTCAGGCATTTCCAATGAGCTATAGATCATGGAAATCTATCAATGAAATCAAAAATTACGAAAGATTTTGCTCGGCAACGTTCATGCAGGGTCCAAAATGAAAGTACGCGCGCTGAAAGCTTAGGCGGCAGGGGGAAACTAGGCCAGCAGTGAAAGGGTTAAAAGACCGTGTTTTCCGCGATTTTCCCGCGATTTTTGAACTTTTTTGTTGCACTACACATACACACAGTGCACTGTTCGGTCAGCAACGTCTCATCGTGGCGGCTTTGTACTCAAATATGACGAGTGCTTACACCAGAGATTTGTAACTGACTGATTTCACTACATACTCACTGAATATTGCCTCATATCAACCGCAAACTTACCACATCAATAATATTCACCGCATATTTACCGCAAATTCACCGCAAATTATGCCATATTTAGGGGTCGTCCACAATTATCGAACTTTTTTCACGAAACGAAATAATTTCGTTATGGGGTGGGAGGGGGTTGACCAATTTTGTTTCAGAAAACATTGATACATGTGCATGCCCATAGGAGCAGTTACATACTTGCAACTTTTGTTGTATTATGCATGCATATGTCAAACTTTTTTTACGTTCTGAGGGGGAGGGAGGGAGGGGTTGGGTCTAAACTAAAATAATTTGTTTGGTGAAAAACGTTCGATATTTGCGGACGGCCCCTTACCCGCAAATTCTGGGATTTTTTCTGCGATTTCCCCCCGAACAACCATTGTAAGCACATACACAGCAGGTAGTAACACGTAGTGGATGCAGTGCAAGCGTTCGTGTCCACAAGTGCAACTCGTTCCAGAGTACAATTCTTCTTGCAGCTTGGCACTGGACTCCAGAGTTCATCCTCATGTTTCTCCTACATGTACCGGTATTTGTACTCGAAAGAGGAAGTCGTCAACTGTGACCCAGGCTGTATCGGTAGTCAACAGAAATTCATTTACTTGCTCAATGCAATGACATCCTTTTTTCTTGAGCAGCAGTCATAAAAATTCATCTCCTCATGATGGACGCGCTAAAAGGATTGGTGTCCGGAGAGATGGTCAAAATCAAGTCACCAGGTTGGCATGTATGCATGTGACCCATACGGTATTCATGTGAGTACGTCGCTTGGTTATGCTGCCAGCTACCGTATTTCCCCGATTATAAGTCGCACTTTTTTACACTAAAATTCAGGGTAAAAAGGGGATGCGACTTACAATCCAGCATGACTTACTACGAGGTGAATTGCTATTTCTGGACATTGTACATTTCTGGCCATTTCGAGTAAAATAATCTTTCGCCGCGTGTAGAGTCAAGTCAGTCAGGTTGATGAACTTTTTTCTTGTTGTAGTTGACAGCTGGGCTGTTGTAGTTTCTCCTCGTGTTGGTGCCTTGTTGATAGCCTTTTCTTGGGAGGCATTTCAACGAGTTTTGTGGTACTATGTCGCAAGAGAATTTTGAATTTTGAGTAAAATAAGAAGTAATGGACGAATCGTTGGCTTCCCCATGTGCACTCCACTTCAGATGCTGTATAGTCTTGGACCTGCTGGCTGGAAGTGTGGAGAGGCCAACTGCAGTCCACCAATAGAAAAAATAACAAAAATGGTGCAGTATAGGATGCCTATTGACGCTATTTTACTCTCATGTCCAGAATTCCATACACTGAATTTTAGGCCCAAAAATTGGCCTGTCGAAAACATCCTGCTATACAGTCTCTGGGATCACAGCATGAGCAATTGTCACATATTTGGAAAGATGAAGGATTAGGCCATACAATAGATACAAAAAGATATGAAAAATGTAAAACACACAGCCAGTGGGCCTCTATTTTATTTTCATGTCCAGAAATTGCTATTCACCTCGTACTGAAGCGAATATATTGTAACAATATTGCTCAAACCTGAAAACGGGGGTGCAACTTATAATCGAGTGTGACTTATAATCGGGGAAATACGGTATGCGCCTGGCGGTCGAGTGAAACCTTATCCTTGAAGTGGCTTTAATGAAGCCACACAGGCTTCCGTCTACCCAGTAAGAATTCTGAATGTTACTCTCCTTTACAAGCACCACACAGGACTTCTCTGTATGCATCAGGCGGGGTTCACAAACTGCCGGCACACGCCGGAAGAGGTTGCAAGAGGCCCACCGTTCACAACCCTAACAAGCACCGCACAGGACCTCTCTGTATGCATCACGCGGGGTTTGTTCATATTGTGAACTGCCATGACAAAATTGTTGACTGGTGCTGAGGCGAGTAAAACATTAGGGCATCGCTGCAGCCGGTCTAATCGCATTTGTTGCCACAACCGATTTTAGAATTCACTTGAAGAGCATGTGCAAAAACTGGTTCATTGAAATTTCTTGAGTCCTTGAGTATTGTATTGATGATGATGGTGATGAGTTTGAAGTTTGTTTTTATTTTTTCAAAAATTAGCTTCTTGTCTCTTGTTCAAGTACTAATAACAATCTAATTCACCTATTCATGTGGCAATAAGACCATCACAAACACAAAATACCCACGTCACTTTCTCCCACAGTTGAAATGTTGAAACTCACAAGTACAAACCACAGCATATCCACGTTTGGTTGTCCAGGTCACAGGCCATAACCAATGACTATTCTCTATCACGTAGCCTCTCTCATGATTGTTCACTGCCCACATGTATTGAGAAGAAATTCTCCAACGTAGTTGTAGAAGAAATTTCTTAAAACACTGGGTGTTTTGAGATATATCGAACATCTTTCCACCTTGATACTCGCATTTGATTTTTGCTGCTTTCCAAGTTAACTCATAGTGAGGAAAAGCAAATACATTGTATTTGGTACCAGTGCCATCCCAGCATTGAGTTTGCAGCTGAGCTGTACGGCAAAAAGTAAAGCAAGACAATACACCTACTCAGCACTTTAGCCCTGCAGAGTGCCACTGGTCAAATTACTTTACGAAATTTGCATTAGCCCAGGCTTACGGGTACACACCCAGGCCTGCGGGCGCACCTCCGCATACTCACATGTGCAGGCGCATGCGCATGCACACACACACACACACACACACACACACACACACACACACACACACACACACACACACACACACACACACACACATTCATGTGCACAAACATAATTGCAGACACTCCCAAGTCCCGTCTGTTCGTACAATGACATACCCACGTGCACACTCACAAGCAATTTATTTATTTTATTTATTTATTATAGCATCTCATAGCACAGTGAGAACACCGGTCAATACAAAGAGAGAGGGTGTTAGCCAACTACGGCAAGGAAGGGAGAAGGGGAGGAGAAGAAAAAGGAACCGGCATGGATAAGCAGTAATTGCAACAAAATGTGCGACAAGGCTCTTAAAAAGGCGGAGGGAGGAAAGGTCCTTAGCTTCTTGGGGAAGTGCCAGCCACGCAGAGTACGCAGTGAAAAAGGGAGAGTGAAGTAGAAAGGAGGACTTAGGTTTCGGAAGGGAAAGGGAGTTTCTCGTGCTACGGGAAGAGAACCAGTTGAAACAGTGGAGGTGAGGTGGACACAGATTGAGATTGAGAGAATGGATAAGGGTGACAAGATGTGAATTACGTCTCTTAGACAAAGGGGTAGTGTCAGCAAGGGCATAAAGGGTGGAAGATGGAAGCATGCGGGGTTTTCGGAGGAGGATTTTGAGAACTTTTTTGTGGTGAATTTCGAGCTTGGCAGCACGGGTTGTGGAAATTCCAGCCCAAGCAGTATCTGCATAATCAAAAATGGGGCGTAGGTAAGCTGAGTAAAAGAGGAGTTTACAAGAGATTGGGAGATGGTAACAGTGAGAAGAGAGGATTCCTAAAGATGAACTTGATCGTTTACATATGTAATCAATGTGGGGTTCCCATGAAAGACTAGAGTCAATGAAAATGCCAAGATGCTTATGGCTGGAGACTATGTCTATAGGCTGGGGGAAAGTGGGATGGAGGAGGGGCGGAACATCGGGCTGAGAAGGAAAGACCATGATTTTAGTTTTAGACAGATAACCGCCAAGACGACATCCAGGAAATTACTCTTTGAATCCCGTAAGCTAGGTTACTCATCAGGCCAGTGATGTAAGGAGATGCCCGTATGAGCGTTGTGTCGTCTGCAAACAGTGATGTGCCCGGGGCAGCTGCGGGCAGATCATTGACGTATAAAATAAAAAGAAGGGGGCCGAGGATGAACCCTGGGGAACTCCGGATAGTACTGTTGTGTCGGCCGAGGACGTCCCATGTACCGTGACGTACTGTGTTCGCCCAGTTAGGTAAGATGTCAGCCATAGCAGGGGATTGCCGTCTACAGTAAATGATCCACGAAGCTTGGCCAAAAGCCCCCGGTGCCAGACGGTATCGAAGGCCTTGGCAAGATCGAAAAAACAGATCCCGACTAGATCTCCAGCATCCCGATGTCGACACACTAATTGCACCAGGCGCGTCAGCTGGAGGGTGGTAGAATCGCCTCTGCGAAATCCGGACTGAGCTGAACTCAAACGTGACGAGACATGACAGTACAATTGGTCTTAGGAAACGCGTTCACAGAGTTTGGAAACACAGGACAGTAGAGATATCGGGCGGTAGTTTGATGCTTCGTGGCGGGACCCTTTCTTGTAGATCGGTATAACATTAGCTGTTTTCCATGCAGGGGGAAAACGACCAGTGCAGAATGATAGGTTGAAAATCAGACATAAGGGGTATGCTATTGAGGGCGCAAGGGACTTTAATACCAGATTAGTGATGCCGTCTGGGCCCGGCGCCTTGTCAGACGGGAGCTTTCAAATGTAACGTTGGATGGCAGCAGTCGTAGTAAAGACAGACGTGAGGCGGTCAACCTCACCCGACTCCTCGGCAATGGGGGGAATGGGTAGACACCGCATGGCCAGCAATTGAGGGCATCTGAGAGTTGTAATTTTTGCACTTCTCTGAGGTGTGATTTTTGCGTGCTGGACCAAGCATAATTGAAGCCTTCTGCCAAAAAAACTGAAGAAAATGGTTGTTGTTTGATCCTTTTGGTGTAATCTCTGTAGCTAGTCGAAGCTAGTTGCTGTTTGGAGCAGAAATTTCCCATTTCACAAGCAATGGAAAACGGTGTAGTGAAGTGGGAATTGTATAAGGAGTTGGAGGTGAGATATAACTATGTCTAGCCCTCGCGATTTACGCGATTTCATGCTCGCACACAGCATTTTTTTAAAGTTCAATATTCTAATGAAGCTGTACTTGATGCAGCTCATCCAAGGCCCTTCAGGCCTTTTTTCATGGAGAACACCGAAACAGGGTGGGTGGGAGGGACATAGTTATATCTCACCTCCAACTCCTTATACAATTCCCACTTCACTACACAATTTTCCATTGCTTGTGAAATGGGAAATTGCATGTCGGAGTTTCCGGTGAGATATAACTATGTCTTGTTTAAAGTCGGTTCCGCACCCTGAGCGGAAACAAGAAACTATCACACTGTCTACACAAGGACTTAGTGAAAGTTCTAGTAAAAGGTGCGTGGCAAGATAAACTAGGCTAGCATAATCAGCCCACACTATGCCAGGCACAGGCCACTGAATGACCATCACTGAGTACAGATGGAATGATCATAAAACGTACGCACGGGACGGCAAGTGGAGTAGATCATACCAAAATGGAATACAATTTAGCATTGTCAACTATGCAGAATTAATGGACAATGCAAACTCCAGAGTGGGAACACCTGGGAAAAACTGGTGCACCAGGCATATACAGGACCTTTGAAAAGAAAAAGGTCTGAGAAAAACCCAAATGTGTAGGAGAAAAGAAAACGGCGGACTGAAGCCGTGGACCCTATCGGCCGCAATCATGAGCGGCGGAATAACAGACTGTCACAGTGTCAGCCTAGGACAGTCGCACCGAAGGTAGTGCCCTCAGAAGGAGGAGGGTGAAACATCACGATAATAAAACCTCGGGAATGTAGAGGATTGCGCCTAGGCGGTGGCCCTGAGGATGTCGGGTGCAGAGGCTCCCTTCCGACAGGCAGCGGAGGTGGCCGCACTACGTGCGGAATGCGCCTTGAAAAACGATGGTGTCCACTCCAGCATCCGACATGGAAGTGAGGAGCTACTTCAGCGGCAACGGTGCTCGGTGAGACCGGCTTGTGGGGACGTTGGAGCGACAGCAGCAGAGGGTTGGCAGACGCGGCGGCAGCCGGCCGGAAACTCTCTCTCTGTGCGAGCAGAATACTGCCTTAGAGCATCCACACACAACGGAGGGTGCTGAGGGCAAGCAAGGAAGACAAACTGCTTGGCTGGATCACCGACGCGCTGATTCTGGATAAAAGTGGGAATCCCAAATGAAGTAGCATTGACAATAATGTCCATAAAACGAACATCGAGCTTCTGCAGCTCAGAGCAACGCTGGGCACCCGTCAGAGCCAGCAGCATAGTCAACCTGAGAGTCCGTTCTTTGAGAGACTCAGGTGTGAAGGACATGTTCCGGAACCGATCCAGGACTGCCTGTACATTCCACATGCTGCCATAGCACGGCTGAGAAGGACGGGACTGGTATGCACCGGGGAGCATATGAGACACCAGAGGATGCGGGCCAACCACAACGCCATCGATGGGAGGAAGCGTCATTGACATGGCTGACCGGTAACACCCTAACGTACGATACAGTCGACCCAGACGGAATTGGGAGGTCAGAAAATCGAGGACCTCTGAGAGAACACCCAGGGAATCAATTTGCCGTGTGGCACACCAATCACACCATGTGTTCCATGCCGACTGATACACACGTTCGGTGAGGGAACGCCATGACGCCAAGAGTAGGTTGGCAGTGTCGCCCGAAACTCCGCTGCGGCTGTTGCTAGCCCGGAGAGTATCCATGCGACCAGGGTGAGGTGAGCTGACTGTACCAACGGGTGGACTTGGTGATCTGGACCAGCGAACAAGACTGGAGAGGCTGACAGCACGCGCGGAATGTCCACCACTAGTGCCAAGAGAGCTGGAAACCAAGCCTGGCCGGGCCAAAGCGGAGTGACCATGACTATGGATGGGATCTCCTATGGAACAACCCTGGCCGGGCATTTGCCAATCAGATAGATTGGAGGGAAGGCATAGACTTGCAGGCAGGACCAGTCGAGACTGAAGGCACGCGGACTGCGTGCATATGGGCGCCAACTGACATACGTCTGCAGTCGAAATTTAGTGCGAGATGCAAATGCAGTGCAATGCAGGCACTCGGTCACATGATCTGATGATCCTGGAAAACTGACCTGTCGAGCATCCAGTCGCTGGCATTAGTGTGATGGCGAGAGGGATAATCGGCAACTGTATTCACTGCACCAGGTAGATATTGAGGAATCAAAGTGATATCTCTGAGCAGACACCACTCCCACAGCGTGGCAGCTATCCTGTCTAATGTCGGTGATGAACTGCTGCCAGTGCGGGGCAAACAGGGAACAGCCACACTTTAGTCGAGCTGCAGGAGAATACTGCCCCGGTATAGAGAAGGCGCTAGCGACTGGACAGCATACTGGGCTGTGAGCAGTTCCGGGACATTCATGTGAAGCTGCTTCTTGGCAGATGTCCATCAGCCGCCTGTGGTGACATTGGCACAATATGCACCGGGGCCCCACCCCGAACGGCCTGCACGGGATGCATCGGACTGGATGGCGAGGTCAGGTTCGGAAAGGCGTACAGGTCGCCCACTCCACAGCTGGAGATGCCGAATCCACTATTGAATCTCGACACGGCACTCATGACTGAGAGTAAGCTTGTAAGTGTAAAAGGGACCCTGCCGTAGGAACGTGTTCTTCAAACTCTGCAAGCGACGATACTTAAGTGATGCAGGAGCCACGGCAACTATGGTGGACACCATCATGCTCACAATTGACGCAATACCCCGAAGAGATACGGTGTGAGCAGCCAGCAGCGCGCACATTGTTGTTGAAGCGTGGATGCTTTTGTGTCTGGCAATGAGAACTCCATTGTGACGGAGTTGACCTGAATACCCAGGTAGTGTATCTGCCTGGTGGGAATCAGATACGACTGCGTCCAGTTGATGTCGAACCCAAGATCAATCAGCAGATGAAGAATGGTAGCAACAGGGCGAAACAGGTCGGACGTTATCCGTGCCATGATGAATATGCCGGCAAGGTAAATCACCAGTTGTAGGCCGAGCGAACGTACCATCTTCACTAAAGGGTGCAGAGCTAGTCTGGGTGAAGACTCTGGCCTCTGGGACCACTGCGCAAGCCAAACGGTAGACAGTTAAACTGGGAAATCTGTTGATACCACTGAAAACTGGAGAAACCGACGATCGAGCCGCTGGACTGGAGAATTAAGCATCTCTTAAGTCTATCCCGATCATCACATCCCCTAGCTGCAGGTGATCCGGCACTGTCTTCAAATGACTCCATCGCGAAGTGGTGATACTACAGACAGTTGTTCAGCGCTCGGAGGTTGATAATTGTGGGGGCCGGGGGTTGCCATTATTGAAATTATTTTTTTCTTTTTGTTTTTGTTTTGTCTTCTCACATTCGTCACTCTGTGAAATGTCACGAATGATAGCAAATTGCCGTGTACCACAAAGAGCCATTGGCAAAAAAAACCCAATGCATGGCTCGTAATTATTATCACCTCACTCAGGACCGCCGGATGCAGCGTTTGAGTGGTCCGGTAGTATCATGGTCGTTATACAGTTTGTGTAGGGTATGACGGGGACCGTAGGAAATACGTATCCGTGGCTGAAAAGTTGGTCCGGTAATAACCTGACCGGCTCCGGCGGCCTGTTATTAATCGCACATCACGGCAGTATGCTACAAGCACAATTGACAAACATTATCACCCGGCAACAGCAAACGGGTGCGCATCACAGGATTGGCCTGGCAACTTCAAACAGGCGCAATTGACAAACATGGTGCTCCGCTGGGCAACGTCAGCAGAAATGCACCAATACAAACACAGCCCCGGCATCAGCAAACGGGAATGCCGTTACAAATATGGTGCCCCGGTAAACTCAACGGAAGCGCACTAATATAAGGTGGCCTGGTAGCTTCAAACAGGCACAACTGACAAACGTGGTGCTCCGCTCGGCAACTTCAGTGTGAGTGCACCAATACAAACATGGCCCCGGCAACAGCGAACGGGAAAGCCGTTACAAACATGGTGCCCGGAAAACTCAACGGGAACGCACCAATGCAAGCCGGCCTGGCAACTGCAAACCGGCACAACTGACAAATGTAGTGCCCCGCTGGGCAACTTCAACGGGAATGCACCAATACAAACACGGCCCCGGCAACAGCAGACGGGAACGCCGTTTCAAACATGGTGCCTGGCCTGGCAACTTCAAACAGGCACAACTGACAAACGTGGTGCCCGGCTGGGCAACTTCAACGGGAATGCACAAATCCTGTGACAAACACGGCCACGGCAACAGCAAACGGAATCGCGGTTACAAATATGGTGCCCCGGCAAATTCCACGGGAACGAACCAAGCTGGCCTAGCAAATGGGTACACTGTTACAACATCAGACCATCACATCAAGATTCCGCTGCGGCAACAATGTATATGTAGCAGCAATACAGCAGACATGTGAGGTGGATGTGATTGGGACCGTTTGGCCCGCGTGCTACGCCGAGGTGGTGGCAAGTAACACTGTCCTGATGTGAGGACTCCGAGTCGGCACTAGCATCTGAGCTCTGACTAGAACTAGACTAGTCTAGAGAGTAGAGTAGTGCTCACCCTCATCTGAGTCGGAGTATGTCTTTGAATGAGAACAGTCCGACTCACACTCGGAGGCACTGGCAACAGTGTCCGCCGAACTAGTAGGCACTTAGGCCAAGCAGGTCGTGAGACCGTTCAGGCCGTTAGTGCTCGTCACATTTAAGGACGCACTATGGTGCCGACAAGGTGCCGGGCTGGAGCCACCAGCCACTCGTGCCCTGGCTTCGCCAGAAACATCACACGACCCAAAGTCACGGCGTGACTCGCGTGGACGCAAAACACTCAAAGCACCCGGCCCATCTTGGGGTGTCATCACACGCCCGCATCCACGGCTCAGGCACAGCACAGACACTATATCACTGATGTAGAGAACAAAATGGAGGAACACCTCTGGAGCATGGAAGCATGGGGGGGGGGGCTATATCCCGTACTGTTAGCGTTACATTGAATATGAACTAGGCTAGCACAGATATACTTCGTTCTTTTGATGGCGGCGGGTAGCATGGAACTAGACGTGTTCTTGGGATCCTCGGGCAACATTTGCTGCTCGTGGATGCCATAGTATTGGGTGCATCGAGGTTGCTTCTATGCTCACTGCTGTTTAGTAAGACAATTTTTTCTAACCATTTCACCGAAGAAGAAGGCAAGAGTATTTTGTGTTGGTTTGGACGCCTGGCTTCTCTTCACATAATATACAGTCATGTACTTCCACTAACCCTACAAGTGCACATGACTCATGAGCTGCTGAAGACAGTGACGGTACTGATCATGTACAATCATCATGTACATGTACATGCCGTGCACCGTTCATTCATGCTGACAAAAAAAAGTACACTACAGACGGTGTAGGGTGCCCGCAGTGTAGCCTGGGTGCACAGGGTGCATTTGCCCCGTCTCACTCGCGGCTCGGATCTTTGTGCAAGTCATCTATTGGCATATCCACAGCCATATAAACATTGGCAGTTAAAACTAAAAGACACCGAGTGCCGGTGGGACATTTCGCTACAGAGACATAACAAATGATTGGTTCGGCTATGTACCTGGCGGCTGGTTTTAACAGCAGACGTCATATATTACCCAAAATGATTATAACCTGATGATGGCACCCACTGTCAGTGTAGACTTATGGGAACGGGATTGCCAGCCCAAACACGTTCAAAACTCCTACTTCTATGGGTTGTTGCCTTACATCATGAACGCTAACTCAACTTACCCTCACAAACAATGGAAGCAGTTGTTGTCGTATGATACTCTCCATTAGCTTGCACAGCTCTTTCACCTTCTGTCCAGACGCTGGTTCTATTTCGTAATTCCATGAAATCCACCAGACAAGGAACACTTCCTGCACTTGGCAATGTGTGTCCAAGGTGTTGTTTGCATTGACGAGCAGCGTCATTGTATGCATTGAGTGTGTTATTTTGCCGCCAGATTGACTCTATAAAATATGTATTTGGCATACACTTGAGGCTGTAGCTGTCCACACCTGACTGGGTGGTGTCCTCATTCCGGTACCACACTGCAAATATACCAACATACATGTACATGTACATACTCATAAATACATAGAGAGAGAGAGAGAGAGAGAGAGAGAGAGAGAGAGAGAGAGAGAGAGAGAGAGAGAGAGAGAGAGAGAGAGATAGATAGATAGAGAGAGAGAGAGAGAGAGAGAGAGAGAGAGAGAGAGAGAGAGAGAGAGAGAGAGAGAGCGAGAGAGCGAGAGAGCGAGAGAGCGAGAGAGCGAGAGAGAGAGAGAGAGAGTGAGAGAGAGAGTGAGAGAGAGATAGAGATAGAGAGAGAGCGAGAGAGCGCGAGAGAGAGAGAGAGAGAGAGAGAGAGAGAGAGAGAGAGAGAGAGAGAGAGAGAGAGAGAGAGAGAGAGAGAGAGAGAGAGAGAGAGAGAGAGAGAGAGAGAGAGAGAGAGAGAGAGAGAGAGAGAGAGAGAGAGAGAGAGAGAGAGAGAGAGAGAGAGAGAGAGAGGGGAGGTGTTTACTTATATCACTCTGAAGTGTGGATGCACATTTTGGAGCTCCGAGCAACTCTTCAGGGTGCCTGTAGTTTATAGTGTCTAGTAAATTTGTATCATATTGCCCCGAGGACATGGACGGTGCTGGGGGCTCGGTGCCGTCATGGAGGAGTCTCTCCTGACAGCAGTTGCGGGAGACATCTGCCACATTCCATTGTCCGCCTTGCGCCCAAACCGTCGATATTGCGGACACCCTGGAGGATTTCGGCTCTGCTGACCTTCAAACTGCTAAGTGGAAACCGTGCATGTATCATGCACACACACGTACACACACCATTTGACCATTTGACGCCCATCGCTGGAGGCGATGATAGCAATGCTACAGCAGAAGCCATGGCAACTTGTGCTGGGATTGCAAGGCTGAAGAATCGACCGCCACTATTCAGCCTGGTCTACACCACACAGCTATGAAGTGTCTTTTTTTCTGGCCAGTACTTTTTGGTCTTTTTCATCGTTTTTGCCGCATGCACATCACATCACATACTCCGGCATGCACTGGCTGTTGGTAACCACCCCCACCCAGGAGAATGTAAGAAAAGTCAGGAGGAGTCTGAGGAAGAGAAGAAAGACATGTGTGACCGTATTCGCCGGGAATCGAACCCACAACCTCTCGATTGGAAATCGCTGCACATACCACTGCACCTTATGGGACACACATACACACACACACACACACACACACACACACACACACACACACACACATAATTTGCCAAGTCTATACTTACTAGCAGGCCGGCTGCACATTGCCTGTCTTTTTGATTTACAACTATATTCTTGAGGTGCATCTGTACCATGAATAGAGAAGCATTCTTGACTTTCTTGACCATTGTACCTAACCCAGTAAGAACTGGGGTCATTAGCAAGATCAATAGTTTCGTGTAGAGCTGACACCGAATTCCCTATAGCATTGTAGAAATATATGCCTGAACCACCAGAAAGAGTATCGCAGCGCCAAATAGCACCAGAGTAAGCATACGGCCCAACTGGGACAACGAGATCAACTGGAAAAACCTTCACAGCAATGCCAAAGTCACCTATCGTCTTCCATCCTGCAATGCAGAGAAAACATAGAAGAAATTTTACATTTACTCACCTGGTGAGAATTTGGTTAGATGCCAAAATCAAGCAAAATTTTCGCTTATCTTTACACATTTTACTGATGCATTCCAGGTTCTCAGAACGGCTTATAGCGTATCAGAATGAGTTGAGGAGTCATTGAACATCAGAAAAAAACTATCCACGTTGAAAATGTAGAAGTGGTCCGTTGTCAACAGCCGACACAGCACTTGTTGTCGGGTAGTACTTCGCACTATCCAGAAGCGCAATATTTCGTATCGACACTTTTTCACGCGCTTCACCTCCTTCATGAGTACGATCGGTTTGGGTTTCTTACCAGCTGAAGCTGGGGTTTTTTGTGAGCACCTCTGCTACCAATGTGCCAGTGGTTTCTACAATTTTTGGTAACTGCTTCTCTCCAGGACGCCTTTGGACGAGCCAGATATTCAGCACAAAACGTGCTCCATCCTATCGCCAGGGTAATAGACCCTTTGCACAATATCGGTCACGTGATTTGAGACGGGCATCCTCTTCGATTTCTGTGCAGAGTATCAGTTGTTCAGCATGGTGAAACACTGTATTTTTCCATTTTGGAGATGGAGGAGAGAGTGTCGAGTGGTTTGCCGTCGATGGCTGTGGCACCCGTGGACGAACTGTCAAATGAAGAATGGTCTGTGAAGGAACTGAACAGTTTTCTGCTGACTGAGGGTGCGTATCTGTCTGGAAAAAGAAGGAGTTGTTGGAGCGGTAAGTTTTCCGCATTCAGTGGATATTTCGGATTACTGTAGTTTGAAATCTATTTTTCTTTTCTCTACCTTCTCTCCTCTGTTGATGTAGAGAACACTTCTCTGCGCAGAACCCTGATGCTCCTAGAACTAAGAAGGGCACCACTTCCTCGTGTGTACCGTCATCATGCCCAACATTTCATGCGTCCTAGTGGATTAGTGATGTACCTGTTTCCCAGAGTGAGTACCACACCAGGCTTGCTCATCTCAAACGCAGGGGCAAGTCACCGACGACAGTGAAGAGGGAGCTGATGGAGTAGTACTAGTGAAGAAGCCCATGGATAGTGTCCATGAGTTTTACTTTGGTAGCTAGGTGCATATTGTGGAAGTCTGTCATATCGTGCACACAGCCACAGCTCGAACTCAGATGGTGTTGCATATCGGCTCAATTAGAAAGAAAGACATTTCATGGCTCATTTTTGTTCTGGTCCTTTCGTTTATTTTGGCTGGTTTAGCATTCTGCTTTGGGCTATATTGGACTGTTTTGGTTGCATGTGTAGTTTGCACATGATCCAAGGAACGGTTACGTCATTGTCATGCGTTATCTTTTGTTTGCGCGCATGCTCATATGCTGCCATAATGTTAGTCTTTTTCTTCAGTTTCCAGTTTACCTCGTCATGTCCGGTCTTCTTGTCTGTCCGTCTCCGACTTGTCAAAAAATAATGTAAAACTTCAGTTCAGTTTCGTTGTTGTGTGTGGCGGGTCGGATGGGCAGGGAGGCTGGGCCCCTGACGCCTGGAGAACATGAGCGGGTGCACAAAAGATGACATTCTTCGCACGCCTCAGCGATGAGGCTGCGTCTCTGTGCACTTCAACATCAGCAGCTCAAGCAGCGCCAGCAAGCAGTCAATCTTCCTTGAATAGCGAAGACAGGGATGGGTCATGCCTAATTCTCAAGCTCTAGAGTCTCTTGGCAGGGCGTTCCGCGTCTTCGCAAAAGCAAGGATGAAAGTCGTCATCGACAAAGTGTTCCGAGCACAACACTGTGAACGATGTCGCAGCACTGCGGCCCTCTTCTCGCCAGATAGCCAGGATTCAAGAGTGTGGAATGCCAGCATCACAAGGGAACGCATGGAAGGACAAGTGGGTTTCTTAGACTAGAGTTGATGGTTGCTGCAAACAAGAACCCAACAGTGGTCCTTGGAAATCATTTCGGAACTTCTTCCTTCAGAACTAAAAAAAAACTTCAAATGAAAAAGGTTGGAAAGTACGAGGTGATTTGTAATAATTTTACATGAAAGTAAAAATGGCTATCATTTCGTTACCCTGGCGAATTTTGAAGTGTGCATGGTCTCATTCTGTCACTCTGTATGTCCTCTATCCACGTATGGACTTCTTGATCGAACACCACAAACATGAAAGACACAGTGTGGGGTTGCTTTGCATGCATTTTTCACCCAGAAAAGTGTGTAAAATTTTTTACAAGTCGGTAAAATAGGGTCTAACATCAACAAATATGACCTAAATGTGTCAATAAGCTTGCAATGGGAAATCAAGATACATCTGAAGCAAGTCACATGCAGAGAAAGCAGACTGGTTTTGCAGGTTGCCCAACGTATTGGTTTCTGTACGTCGTCAACTGAGGTTCAAAACGGTAGGATATCTTTGACCGCCTGCCGGCATTGTAGAGCATGAGCACACAGACCTTATCTTGCTGCTCCATTTCTTTCAACTTGCAGTGCATCCTCATGCGTGAAATAACCACACTAAGCGAAGATACCATCCATGATGCGCGCACATACTGACAATACCGGGGCTTCCATACTCTCCAAGACAAGTGCAGTGACTCCTTCACCTGATTCATGTACTTCTGTGTTGGAAGAAGACTGCAGACCACCCTCAATGGGTGCTCCGCCGTCAACAACCAACATACATTAATGCCGCATTTCCTGCATTTGCACTTTGCCATCGTGAATCTCTACCAGCACTTCTGAGGTAGCAAGCTGAGTTTCATATGTAGATCTACTGAATAGCTAATTATTTACCTGCATGCCATAAGCATCAGCAGCTTCGGACTTGGATTTGAATCACCTTTCATGATAGTTGAGTGAAAGACACCTTTTGTCAAAATTGTAGGTTCTGACCTTCACCTTTTTGGCTAATCTCTTCTTCAGCCCTGCTACTTTGACGGTGTGACAGACTCATTGCTGGCATCGGTGACCAGCCTAGGGTTTCCACCTGCCGTATAATATGCTCGCTGGCTCTTGGACGTCCTTCAAGCATCCATTGACGGATATTTTACCTCATTGACCACAAATTCACGAATTTCGATCCATGATTGATATCTCACAAGGCCGTGGAAGAAGACAATTCCGCTAAACGCTGCTGATGCTTACAAACTACAATAATGTCAACTCACTTGTCAGTCGAACTAACAAAAACACTTCATGGGAAGAATGCAATCGCCCTCAACAATGATATTTTACTCGATTTGTAAAATAATATGCCATGTAAAATTTTTACAAATCACCTCGTACATACATGAACATCGCATCAGGACCGTGAAAAACACAGGAAACTTGATCACGTCCTGCAGCAAACCATGCATGCTGGTTGCATGCCAAGTGGTGCAGCGCGTGCACAGCGTGCCCCGTCTCGACCCCTCTCGCTTATTGTGCAAAGGGTCTATTGCTTCAGCTTTGCTTCACTGCTTCCACCAAGTCTTTCACATTTTCTTTGGCTACGAGCTCAGCGTCGCTTTTCAGGATCATTCACGTTGACATCAGGCAAATGAGCTGGGTGAGTGACAACCCTGTCATCGAAGCCTTTCTTTCCTCTGTGTTCTGCCCAGTGCCAGTGCCAGTGGTTCTGGTTCAGTTTTGTAGTATGTGGGCGACCATCACTGAGTGACCTTCTCAGCTTCAAGCTCACATGTGTTTTTACCATACACACATTTTGAGCCGTGGATGCAATCGAACACTCTGGCTTTTCGCAACATGACATTTCTGTACTCCAGTGGTACTCAGCAGCACCCACCTTGACCAATGACTGACTTTGTGTGTTTTTTACCAGTTCACTCGCTTGTGCAATTATAACATTGATCGGCTGCAGATTGGTACAGTCACTTCGTGGTTGGTCCTATAGGAAGGCACCTGCCAGGAAAGAGGCAGGACTCATCGAAGACGAAGCGCTCGCAACAAACAATAGCACTCGAAATATCTCGTAAGATTTAGGGCCTATCGCTTTGAGCCACAGCGCTCACCGCCTTGCCTACTTCATCAAAGTGAGCTCTACATGTTCGTTGACCTCTTCACACTACACAGAAGAGCGAAACAAGGATTATGTCTTAGCATTTCAACTCCAAGAGCAGACCATTACCAATGCGAGAGAGAAAACTACAAAGGGCTTTGCTTTCTGTCGCATCGTCTCTCTTGCATGCAACTAATGAGAAAACCGTGTACTTACCCTCTCATTAATACGCGAACTATCAAACACGTCCTGTGCTGCATGCTGATCAGGTAGCGCTATGTGTTGTACAGTGTACTCTCAGTTGACCTGCCCCCTTTCGAACCCAGACGATCTTTTCGGGATTGGTCTATTGATCATGCCCCAAGGGTCTTCCTTCCTACTCCTGGCTCTGGCCGGCTAGAAAATTCAGTGCTTTGTTTCGAGTTGACTCGATCGAGTCATGTGGAACTACTTGTTAGAGTAGTCAGCTCGTCCACAATAGAGTCATGCATGAGGAGTACCGTTAGATATTGGCGTCCGGTTTTGTACAATGCTCTTCATGGTCCTGTAACAGTCGGCATTCTTTGTTGCCATGGGACTTAGCTTGTGCACATTGTCACTGTGCTCACATTCCCCTCTTCGGTCCTATGTAATCATGAACCTTCCAAGTTGAAAGGCTGTTGGTTTGCGCACTGGAAATGTGTTGGAGCTAGGTCTCGGGTGGCTGAACGTATCAGTAGCCTGTCAGTTTGGTGCCCTATTATCGCACTTTCTGAATGTTTATCATCTTGTTACAGTCGTGGATAGTTGCTGCATAGCTCGTTCTGATGCGTTTCTTCTCTTTTTCTTCGTTTCTTTGTCTTTTGGCTTTTGAGACTCTTGCCTTCTGCCCTTGCGGCGGAAGCTTGGCTTTTTGGCTCTCTCTCTCTCTCTCTCTCTCTCTCTCTCTCTCTCGCCTTTGTTCTTTGCTTTCATGGTTTATTGCAGTAAGTAAGCGTTTTGCTCGTTGTTTTACTTGTAGCGAGATAACCATTACCTCCAGGTGTGTACCGGAGAGAGTTCATTTGTTTGCCACTTGGCCACATACCGCAATTGGTGGCAGCGGTGGGATTCGAATCCATGCCTCCGGGGAGACTGGAGGCCAAATGCACGAACGACATGCACCAGCCCCCCCCCCCCCCCCTCCCTCAATTAAAATATTGAATCAGCTACACCCTGTGGAGTGTTCTATCTGTATCACTTACTGTAAACCCAGACCAGTTTAAGTTCACGATTGACCGGCACAGACAAATTTGAACTTACAGAAGTTTGCGATCGGAGTCAATTTCCTCAGTTTCTTTACTACAGTTACTACAAGGGTCAAGGACCTGCATGCACTATGCAAGAGTTTGTCGCAGAGACGTCAGGCGAAATAGCACGTCATAGTACATTTGAGATCAGCGGGAAGAAGATGACGACGTCCACTAATTTCGTATCTGTGCACACGAATCTGCTGTGTGTGTGACTCTGTGTGTCAGCTATGATATCATCTTCTGTGGTTCCATGCCTAGCATGTACGTCTGAACCATCCTGCAAAGTTTGAATGACGTAGGTTGAGCGATCGCTCCGCGAAACATACTTTTTGAAAATCTCTTCATAGTATATCTTCCACCATTGAAATTTCGAATTTCTTCCAGAAAAGTGCTGAGAGGGGTGGCTTGCAACCTCGATATGGCTTGTTCCAGGCATGCTTTGGAGCCATCTTCTGTTGAAGTAGTGGCGGGGATCTGCCCTGCAACTGCTACAACAAAAAATGATTCGATCTGAGAAAGGGTGAGACCGCGAATCTCGGTTGAATATTGAGTATTTCAAGCCTTTTCACGACGAAGATGGAGTTCTTTTTGGAGATGGACATCGCGGCAAAGGACATGGTGTCCGACTTCTGGCGTCTGGTGAAGCCAGGGATCATTTGTCCAGTCAGGTCGGCAGCCTAACCGTCGGTAAGCTTGTGTTTGGATCCTGTTCTGCTCGATGTGGTAGATCACAAACAATTTGATATCGCACAAATTGATCTCAGCATCGTGCGTACGGTATTTTATATTCAGAAAATCCCAAAGTGTCTCTGTGTGGCCGTCCTATGCCACGAGAAACTCCAATCAGGCTCCTATGTCCTCTGCCTTCATGATTGAATGTCCACTTCGTTTGAACAACGAACACAACAATCGAGGACGGCTTTGCAATGAAAAATACAACTATACTGGAGCTGAAAAAAGAAGAAAAAACGTGCTCAGGATGAGACTCGAGTACACGCATACTCTCCCAGCAGGTGAAACGCAAATTTTTGTGAAAAATGCGTGTCGCCGACTGACCAGTAATTTCGCCTGACGAGTGCAGTCAACAATAAAACAGGTTGCCACACATACACACACACCCACAGTCCCACCCACACACCCACCCACACACACACACACACACACACACACACACACAGACAGACAAAGACCCACCATCACAGCGAGCACCATGGTATGATTCGTTGTTTGTGTTATCAGTACAGTTACAGCGGTAAGATCCCTCGGTATTGATGCAAGGGTTTTTTCCACAGTCGTGAAAACCATGCTCGCATTCATCATACTCATCTGAAGAAATATATTGGCGATAGCAACAGCCACAGCGACAGCAACAGCAATAACAACAGCTTATAGGCCATTCACACGATGTGAAAATACTTGCACATGTGTGACCAAGATAACACTGGCAAACCGTGATTCAGTTCACACGGTGCTCGGCCACATTTTCAACCGTCAATTTATTTTTTTTACTAGAGCCACGTAAACCCGTCATGTGTGAGCCATGAATAAGGGGAGTGGTGGCGTGGTCTGGGATCCATATTGACCTCCTGAAAATGCCGGGAAATGTTACATTTTGAATTTTCCTTTGTTCAAGCAGTGCATTTGCAGTACACACTTTGAACAACGGACACTTTTCCTGGCGTGCAAAGATAATCACGAGCAAAAAGGCCTCGGCCAAGATAAAAAAAATCAGTTGCACGCGGGAGTCCAAGTTTATTGTATCCGAGTAAATATCCTAGGAAAACAGCACGATAAAAGTGAGTTTGCACGTCGTGTGAATGGCCTATAAGACAAGCTGGAGAGAATCCAGCAGGAAGCCGCAAGATTATGCCTCTGCCTCCCTCCTACATCCACATTAACCCTTTGAGGACGAAGGACGAATATATCCGTTTTTTAGGTATAGCTGGATTCCTAAAGACGAGTATATCCGTTTTTGAGAAAATTGCAATATCGGTATATTCTTAGGTGCTTGAAGTCACTCATATGTTGCTCAGACGAGAACGATCTGATTCTTCGTCAAGGTGAGACATATCGCAGTCGATCCGCGTCGGTCCCGTGGAGATCCGGCCACATTTGAGCATACTCAGAGAACGCACCGATCGAGAAGTTATTTGGAATTAGAAACTAACTTGTTACTTTGTTGAGAGTGCCAATGGCACGTAACCTGTCAAGTGTCTCCTTGTCTGAGGCCCTCGGCATTATCTTTATGAGCAGCGATAGTGAGGGTGAACAGTGTGATCCTTTTTACTTTTCTGAGGATGACAGCGAGGTCGATGTTTGCTAAATTCGTGGCGATACCGCTGACGTATTTGAAATTGTAATGAAAGTTTGAAAATACTGATATTCAAGGCGTTGTTGATCACACTGGTGGCGATGATGAACCGGAGCAACCTGACAATGGAGTGGGTGAGATATGTTGCAGTCGATTCGCGCCGCTCGCGTGAAGAACCGGCCACATTTGAGCATAAGCTCGAATTTGCTGATCGAGAAAGTAATTAGAATTTGAAAATTTGTTGACAGTGCCGATGGCTCGTAACTTGTCAAATGTCTCCTTGTCTGAGGCCCTCGATGTTATCTTCATGACCAGCGATAGTGAGGGTGAACCATGTGATCCCTTTGATGTTTCTGAGGATGACAGTGAGGTCAATGTTGGCGAAATTCGTGGTGATAATGCAGGCGCAATTGAAATTGTAGAGAATGAAAATTTTGAAAATACTGATACTCAAGGCGGTGGAAAATCGCAACATACACCTATTTTGAATTGACCATTCTGACCTCTATAATGGAAATATGATGTAGAAACTTTGGTTTTTGTTGCCTACAGATTTCTATGTCTCGTTAGAACCAAATTTTATGACACTAGATCAAGTTTTGAAAATACTGATTTTACGCCTGAAAATGGTAGCAATCCAGGTGGTTTTGGGCAGTCCTCCACTCTGACCTTCCACACCGCATGAAGTGGCCCATTCTCTTCTCCCCCTTTAAAGTTAAATACATAGTGTTTGCTCACTCCATCCACTTCAATTACGCCCTGCTTCATATTCTAATGCTCACAACCCCAAATCGTGTCAATACAGGCTATAGCTTTCTGCATACTCACACTTGCCATTTGCCAACTGCAAGAACCGACTGCTACCTGGGTTCCCCTGTGTATAGATTTCTCCATTATTTCAATGGAATCCCATCAACATTACGCGATATTCAATCAACAGTTTTGTCAACTTTAAACCAAAGGTATCACCCTGCTGCTTAATTCAACCTGCTCATGCATGAGCCACGCTCACCCGTACATCTAGTTTCATCACTGCTAACTATGAAATTTCCACATTATACTAACCGTTTCCCTGGCAAGCCTTGATCCGCGGTGCTGGCCACGTCATGGTGAATGCAAACCCAAAATGCACTCACCTGCATGCCCAGGTTCAGAACTAAATTTTATTGTCACTTCACATTGGCAGATTTCACGATCTATGGCTTGTTGGAAAGATTTGGATCTGATGAAGACACTACGATAGTTTCCAGCTCAAAAGACACGCCAGGAAGACTGCTACATTCTCTCCAAGTCCCCCTACCATGCCTCAAAATTGCAAGACAACATCTCGCATTTTCTATCGTCTCCTTACTCACACTCAAAGGATTTTCATGATTCAAACTGCAAAGGAAAGCTGAGATTCAAGCGCTTCTTTTGATACTCGAGTCGCATGCGTTGCTCTCAAGGGAAATCCCCAGCATGCACGAAGTGACGAGCAAAAGGTTCGAGTCGATCGCCGGTAAGCAAAAGTTGAAATTTCCAGCTATTCACATCGTCGGTGCTCGGCCATATATTGCCCTGTCGCAAAGATCGTTCCATCAGCGGAAAGCTGAGTCCAATAACTTTCCAACGATGCATCATTCATGAGAACCACTTAACTTAGAACCGTTCAAGTTGGAATGCTGTTAGAGTGTGCACCCAAGACATGCTAGACTTGATAGCCAGTTAGTTGTAGAACGACAGTACTGTCCGTAAGTTTCGTGCAATGTTATCGCATGAGCTGATTGTCAAGTAACTGAATCAGCGTAAAACATGATTCAACGAGCAAATGCACATAGCGTGCTCCGATAGCGCACTGCAATCCAGCAAGGTACACATGCTGTGCATGAACTGAGAAGTAGGTAAGGCCTGATCCACATTCATACCCACGCCGTCTATCTCAGCGCCAAATAGATCCTTTTTTATGTAGTGTTGAAACGATCTCACCGGGTACTTGTTAGCTCGCTCGCCAGAAACTCGGCTTGTTTGTGCGGCCAGCTCGTTTGCACTAACGAACACCGTACACCGTACTCCGTACACATGGCAGTACACATCGACCGGGGAGTCGTAAAATATTTTACGACTCCCTGGTCGATCGAGAGTCCAGTCCCGCGCAAAGTGAAAATCACTCGCAGTTACAGTGACGGTATGCCTGCACGACACTTGAGTTGTTTCAGTTGTCGTTGCAGCTTTGGTGGACTCTACTGATGTCTTGTTCCACATCTGCTGACCTGTGGTAGGATATGCTTGGGTCACCTCTCCATTCGAGTGAAAGTTACGCTCAGTCGTTTGGAAGTTTTCTCTGGCGATGCAGCGAAGACCAGGGCTACTTGCTATCTTTGCAAAATGGTCTATTCTTACAAAGGCTACTCAACGACGGCGCTGAAAAGACATCTCGACACAAAACAGCAGTCCGAAGTGAAGCAGCAGCAACCCCAAACGCCGGCGGTGATAATTTGAACCAGCTGAAAAAATCGAACTTGGAAAAAATATATTCAAAAGATCATATTTGCCTCATCCATCGTTAGCTCGCTCGATAGCTTGCTCGTTAGTGGAACTGATCGCTCGTTTGTTATAGATACGCTCGTTTCAACACTATTTTTAAGTTCAAATGCTCGCAGCATCATGCATGCTTACTCTGTGAAGGTAAACGACTGATGTTTCAAATATTCGGAATACCGTATTATCTCTAATATAGGCATGTTGTGTAACTGTAGGTGACATTTACGTTTTGTTGTTTATTTCATATTATTAGTATTTATTATCAGAAGTTGGTTGCTCCAACGAGGAGCACACGCTTCTTGCCGAACTTGACACTTGACTGACTCACGACTGCCATCCGGAGCACACGAGGAGCACGTCGCACCTTCCGCTCGGCAAACCTGAAAGAAAGCACCACTACCTGCTCAATACACAGTGTTTCGGGGAATTCACCCCTCATCAGTTGAGCTTGAGTAGGCTGAGGAAGATCGTGCCTGAAAAGCACCACTTATATGCTGCTCTCCAGGCCAAACCATCACCAGGGATACAAACTTACAGAGACGCTTTGTTTCCAGTGCGACAAACACCACGTGAAGCCCCAGGTAGCAGCGTGAGTCAGAGTCACTCATGGAGTTGTGCTAAACAGACGTTGAGAGCCAGTATAGCTATTCACAACGCTGTCACCAACATCTAGTCGCACATCCGCGTGAGGGACAACAATACGAACTTAGAAGTTGCGACTTCGGCGGTACTAGTCATGAAGTTGGTTGCTCCAACGAGGAGCACACGATTTTCACGCTTTTCAGGCACAATCTTCCTCAGCCTACTCAAGCTCAACTGATGAGGGGTGAATTCCCCGAAACACTGTGTATTGAGCAGGGAGTGGTGCTTTCTTTCAGGTTTGCCGAGCGGAAGGTGCGACGTGCTCCTCGTGTGCTCCGGATGGCAGTCGTGAGTCAGTCAAGTGTCAAGTTCGGCAAGAAGCGCGTGCTCCTCGTTGGAGCAACCAACTTCAGGACTATTACCGCCGAAGTCGCAACTTCTAAGTTCGTATTGTTGTTCCTCACGCGGATGTGCGACTAGTTGTTGGAGGTAACAGCGTTGTGAATAGCTATACTGGCTCTCAACGTCTGTTTAGCACAACTCCATGAGCGACTCTGACTCACGCTGCTACCTGGGGCTTCACGAGGTGTTTGTCGCACTGGAAACAAAGCGTCTCTGTAAGTTTGTATCCCTGGTGATGGTTTGGCCTGGAGAGCAGTATATAAGTGGTGCTTTTCAGGCACAATCTTCCTCAGCCTACTCAAGCTCAACTGATGAGGGGTGAATTCCCCGAAACACTGTGTATTGAGCAGGGAGTGGTGCTTTCTTTCAGGTTTGCCGAGCGGAAGGTGCGACGTGCTCCTCGTGTGCTCCGGATGGCAGTCGTGAGTCAGCCAAGTGTCAAGTTCGGCAAGAAGCGTGTGCTCCTCGTTGGAGCAACCAACTTCAGGACTATTACCGCCGAAGTCGCAACTTCTAAGTTCGTTTTATTATCAGAGTCTAATCAATTCGTTTGTCGTTGTCAGCTTGTAAACGAGGTACTGCTTGCCTTGAGTCAACAACACGGAATTCACGAGTTACGATTGTTCTTACTACTACGTTGCATGTTGTTTGTACATTTACAATCACGTACATGCAGCTTGGCAAGTTGTGTCACGATGCAATGCATACCAATTTATTTCACTACGCGTATTTCTCGTAACACATGAATTCTTACTTCGTACGTGTTTAGGTCCGGTCTTGCGTGACAGAGGTAGTTACTCTTAGTAAGCTTTCTCCATGATTGATTCTAAGAAACACGGACATTGATTCTAGCTTCGAACTGTTTCTTCTTTGGCTGCCTGTTCATTTTGTTCTCAAACAAATCCTTCGTTCAATGTGTTTATATTTTCGCGCTCTGCAGATTTGTTTGCCTCGCGCTCAGCTTTGTTTCCTTTTTTTGTCAACTGCAGTATTATGACGTGTGACTTGTGTACACACGTATCACATGACCGTTTGACTGCATGCGCTAGGCACGCTCTAGGCTAGTGCATTTGAGCGATCGTAGCGATCCGCTTTCCTTCCCGTTTTCGTCTTCTCCGCTTCTTTACTCAGTCAAGTCAGTGTCGCTGCACTAGTCAGTGTCGCTGCACTAGTCAGTGTCGCTGCACTAATCAGTGTCGCAGCACTAGATTTTGATGCGCAGCTGCATGCTGATGCAGCTGCCTTATTCTTTCGATGATCGTCTTTCCAATTTATACTAAATCTACTTTACTCAATCTGCGGACAGCATGCTGTTTCGTTCTTTTTGAACTCATCAGCGCAGCACAGAGAAAATGAGGCCGAACCTGATAGCAATGGAAATAAAAATTTCCAATCAGGCCCGAACGTACCTTGCCAGAGTGCTCAAACTGACAAGTCAGTGAGCTCTGCATAACGCAAACAGCAAAGGCACTACCCCACGCAAGAGTGCTCAACTGCTACAAGAGCAGGAGCGAAATACTCAATCTGCGGACAGCATGCTAAATCGCTAAATCTACTTTATGTATTCTCTCACCCACGTTTGCAACGGTTGTCGGTTGTAGCATGCCAAGGGTTGGATGCAGGGGTGGTTAAGGGGTAATCCGTAATTATCGATCTTTTTCACGAAACGAAAAAGTTGAGTTATGACCCACCCCCACCCACCCACCCCCCTGAAACGAAAAAATTAATTCTTGACTTGAGACTTTGTGCAGAAAATGATCTTGATTGGCTGTTAAAACACACACATATCCTTCGCATGCAAGCACTATTAACCCTTGACCGGCAAGTAATAGTTACTTTTGTATATGAAATCCACTACTCAATCTGCGGACAGCATACTGTTTCGTTCTTTGTGAACTCATCAGCTCAGCACAGAGGAAATGAGGCCGAACCTGATAGCAATGGAAATAAAAATTTCCAATCAGGCCCGAACGTACCTTGCCAGAGTGCTCAAACTGACAAGTCAGTGAGCTCTGCACATACATAACATTTTAGAAGGATGCCAATAACTCACAGCGAGGCCACATTTTGTATGATTGAGCAAGTCAGTTATGTTTTCTTGGAAGTATAGTAGTACTACTTCTTGACCATGGAAATATTTATTTTCACCTACCACACACATACACTGCTAAATAATTGGCACCTCTACGTCTAAACACAGGAATAGTACACATGCAAATCATCGAGTTCCGACATTGACATGATACTGCCAAAACAAGTCGACTTCGGAGCGGAAACAAACACAATAGCTATCACAGACTTCAGTGGTCGTGCCTCGCTCGGAAATGAGAGAAGCATCGCCCCAGAATCGCTGTCGGAAAGCTCCGTAAGGTCGCACGCACGCCGCGCTGCGCTGCCATCAATCAGGCACGTAGAAAGTCGATGGCCTAAATTTCCGTCTCTGGAAAACTGTCGACACGGGGATCACTCTCCATGGCTTCCCCACCATAAGCACGATCAGATTCTTCCAGGTACATTACGACGACATCGTCTTCAGCGGCTGGCTCTCCCCATATTTGCATGAGAATTTACTTGGCGTGTGCCCCGCTCTGTAATTTGAAATTCTCTTGCATCGGCGGCTGGAACGAAGTATTTATCTATCTGTCGTCGGTCCCAGAGCGAATGACTGCTAGGTCCTAGTCGGAGAAGTCATCCGAGGACGAAAGGAACTCACGACTGCACTGAGTACAGAGTGGATCAGTGCATCCATGCAGCACTTGCCTGGCCGCGCGACTTACTGTCGATCTACTTCGAAGTACACAATTGTATGCATGCATCAATGCATGCAGTGCGCGTTGATTTTTCCGCTTTCGATGTTTTTTCAAAACGAAACCGGTCACTACCCACCCACCCATAAACGAAACTTTTTCGTTTCGTGAAAAAGATCGATAATTACAGATGGCCCCTAAGATAGTGCAGTGACAATTCAGTAACAAGCACGGTCCTTTATTTTTTCAATGTACCTCCGCCCTGTGCTATTACTGTAGACGTTCCTTTATTGGAGACTGTTCCATTAATATTAGTGGTGAAACGAATGTCAAAACCTAGTAACCGAATATTCTTTGGCTTATCGAACGAAGGTACGAATATTCTTTTGGTAACAGAGATGCCATCACATGCCCTCCTCTCAGTCATTTGATGGATATTGTCATTATTATTAGGTATGACAAATGGTAGTGCCACATTAAATGCACTGCCACATAAGGCTACTTCGAAGTTCATACACATTACGTGCAACATTGGCAGTCCAGTATGCACATACATGTGCAAACATGGAGTACAAAGTCACAGGCAGGCTGCACGCACTGCACTGTATTGTGTTCGGCGTGCTTGTATGTACATGCACTGCATTCGAAGTGACGTAACAAACAATCGAATGTGACTTAACCCTTTGGAGTCCATGGTTCGATTTCGAACCATGGGCTTTTTGTATGCATGTGTGCGCAGTCAAACTTTCGGTTCTCATCCAAATCTTGACCAAATTCAACAATCGAAGGGTCTAAATGGTAGAGAAAACTCTCAGCTATCACCTCAAACAGATCCGAAGTCTCTATGGTGAGGTTTGAGTGAGCGGCGAGCGATCAAACTTTTCGAATTTTCTGCGCTGCGTGCTGCGAGTCAGCAGTGCGTGAAAGAAAGGGATTTTCCCAGCTTCATGACAGGCGGCACGTGCCAGGACCGGCGCGGCGCGAAATCACGGCAAGGTAAGCTTCTACTCGAAAAAAAATTGAACAGTTCCGAGCTAGATTCAGCGAAATGGCTACAGGAGACCGATTTCGTCTCAGATCTGGAGCTGGACTCGCGTTTGGGCGCGTTGTGGCGGACAATGAATAGTGCTCTTGGCGAGTTTGGGCAAATTGTATTTCTCTCATCAAGAGCTTTCCAACGAGCCCAAGATCTTCAAAATCGGTGAAGAAGAACCAAAGTTATGTTGGAAATGAAGTCCGCATTTTCGTGACTGCCACACATTCTGCGGAAGCAAAAAAGTTACGGACTCCAAAGGGTTAAAGGATATTCGAATATGACAAACCGAACGAATGTTCGAATATTCGTTTCACCACTAATTATTATTTCAACCTCATTTCAGAGGTTGGTGCACCGCGCGCGATTGACCATGATAACATGTACATGTACATGCATTGTGCGTACATATACTACCGCGCGGTGTCCTTTATTGGAGGCCCGGGTGGGGTGGTTTTCAGAGCACTTCACAGTGAGAACTTCACAGTGAGCACTTCACAGCGTACTTATAAAGGAGACTGAGCCCTTTATTTTTTGAATGCCACCCCAAGGTGTTCTATTATTGGAGACGTGCTATTATTGGAGACTGTGCTTATATTAGGGATAACGCGGTATTCGTTTCAGCTCTATGATTGGAGTAGGGTAACAAACGTACTAGTACTGATAGACCAGTAATGTTAACAAACATACTAGTACCTGATCGAACTCTCACCAAAACATGCTGTCAGATAGAGATGAGTGGCATCACCGTCAACCAAAACGGCATCGTACCAACTTGAGTTTTGTCCATAGTGCAAAACCTTGCTGGGATCAGCAGTCCAGTACTGGTAATGTTTGTTGTTCTTCATCGTGTTGTATGCCAGGTACTTATAAGCACATGAAGATGAGTGGAACCTATTCTCAGGATTGAATAATGATCCAGAGCCGCACTGTTCTTTGGCAGCTGCGAAGTTCGGCAGAGCATCGTAAACGCTCAGTAGAAAACCACTGCATTCTGCTCCTGGATACGCAACAAGAACAAGAACACCTCTCTATATGGTGTAAATCTCACTCCATTCCCTCGTATTGGCCACAGGCCATAGTGAGAATAAAGATTTGAAACCATGTGTGAGAAGAAATTGTTGCAAGCACTCCGCTCTTCATTTGAGCTCTGGATTACTTTCACAAACAACTTTTGTATGTTCACTGCATTGTTTCCTCTTTCGAAACCTCATAATTGTTGTCAATATGAATCCTTAGACATAGTCATCCATTACCCGGCAACCCAGCCACATAACCATGCATTCGGTTGCACACCCTGAATGTCATTATGTATTTAGGTAATTGTTTGGCAATCCTGCAGCCCTGTACTTGCAGAGCTAGTTTGTTCAATGTTTTAGAAGCCGTCTATATCCACACAATGAGGCCATACTTACACAAAAAAGTAATGGAAACAGAACACATTCACACTAAGTCTGATCAGTAGGATATCAGCACGTCGTTAGTTCTGCCCAGCGGTCCACTTGTTATTTATTGTTATCCCACCCACGCTGAAATATCTACACATGTTGTGCATGGTTGTAGTTAGCATTTTCTCTTTGTCTACAGATCTTGAGTCAATTGTTAGCAGTAACTTAACACCCCATATTTTGTGTCTATTCTCACGATTGTTCATACTTTTCTGAAGGTGCGCAAGATGCCCTGCAGCCATTCCATGACACTGAAAACCCGACACACACCATTCTCAAAGTAAGTGGTCTCTTCAGTGCGTATTTTTAATTTCTCGATCAAATTTTCTGACATGGGCCATCATCAGTATTGAAGAGAAAAACAAATGTGGTGGACCTATATCATGCAACACGAGGTGGAATGACAACACACCATACTTGATAAATGTACACCATCCTTGAAGCAAAGGCACACACAAACACGCAAATACCCAAACACACAGAGACACACATTCACACTCACACTAACGCTCACAATACTGACAATCATACCCACACTCACCTGTGTAAACAAAATACAAAAATCCTGCCTGCTTTTAAGCAGGCAGGATTTTTGTATTTTGTTTAGGCCATCATTTTTTATATCTATGTTTCGCGTCGTCCGCACGCATACGTTTTGATTTTTTTCAGGAAAAAATAAAAAAATCAACCATGCACAGTTAGCATGGTTACTTGGTTAGTGTACGATCGTGCGAGTCATCAGTGTGGACTGGTTGCATACGGCGAAGCTGGGATTCAGAAATGGCCTCGAGGCCAGCGTTGGTAAATCGTTTGTTCGGCATCTGCGAGCAGTATTCTATGAGCTTACAACAGACCGCATCGATCGCTTCAAGCTGAAAGGATGCGTCGTTCCGGAGCTCTTTGCACCGCTGCTGAAGGCTGAGTACAATAATCCAGCGAAGCAAGGGCACCAATGGTTGTCTCCTCTGTCCAAAGTGATGCAAATAATAATTTTGTGCTTCGATGTACCATTTTTCTTTCGGATGTACACCATGCACGAGCCATTGTGCTATCTACAGTTCTATACACCTCTGCACCTGATGAGCCTTTTTTATTATTTTGCAACTTTTTATTTTTTCCACCTCTCGCATATGATCCTGGATGTTGACCTGACGCGAAACATACATATAAAAAATGATGGCCTTAAAAGAGGTGTGAGGAGCGGTGGGACGAAACTGCTTTCAGGCTACAACATTGTGCTGAGCTGTTTAACAATAGTGTGAACAAGCACTTGATGGCAACAGGACAGGACAGTGGCAGTAGTGACAGAGATCAAACCTCTCTATTGTTAGCAAGTATCGAGTACGATCATAATGAGTAAGTGATGAGTAATCGGCATGATTGCTTCATGCCTGAAATAATGTTTCCCTTTCCCCTTGTCATTCCGCCTGAGGCACCACTGCCCGGTACTAAATTATACCATCTTAGAGGAGTGCTAGAAGAGATTCTTTCGCAGCATTATCACTTACTTTCCCAACGTTCGCAAAGGAATGGGAGGACAGTTGAGCAATTTCGGTTGTGCTGATCAGACGGAGCTTCACCAGTGCGGATTGCTACACAGTTGCCATCCAGACCAGTAACCCAAAATAGTGAAGTCTGCTCTATGGGAAAGCGTTTAGTTATTGCATTGTAGTCATCAGTACTTGGTGGACGTGCAAGTTTACCAGTTTGGGATAAAGTTGAACAGTACTCATTAGCTCCTTGCTGAGTACGACGAAAATCAGTATAGAGCCAATATTCCATTCCTTGTTGTTCCTTGGAAGCTAACCAACTACCTATCAGAATACGTACACACCAGTAGATAAAAACTGGGGATGAGTACATGTACTTGCAGCATATTATTGCTATTTACTTGGTCTGAATTATGAGCGCCTCACTTCAAAACTCAAGCATTTGTACAAATGAGCACCAGAACTAAAAAATCAACCAAGAGCTGGTAGATAGATAACTACTGTATCGTCTTTTGGGCTGACCTTCTAGTTTTCATCGCTGATGGTGTCTCTGGGCACGTCTGCAAGTGCGTCACCCTGCAAAACATCGAAAGAGTTTTTGTCGCCTTCAAGCTATGCTGCACTTCCTTGATTGTTTCAATCAATAGGCCTGATTTTGACGATTGCCTTCGCCTCTTCCTCGTGCAGTGCAACTGCCAGAATGGTAGCTGTAGGAGTTTTCACCCGACATTCCCACGATACCTTCAGATGAGGCGAACAGGCAGACCACCACACACCAATAAAATCACTTCTCATCACTGTGTTCCGTGCACTGACATTCTGTGTCATACAGTTCGACCATGCGCGCTTATCCCTTACCTGTGTTGTACGAATCTATGGGCCACTAGTGGACTGTCAGTGTCACTGGAGACGATGCGGAGCTTTCGCAGAGGCTTGATGTAACGCCTCGCAGCTAGACGACTGCAAAAGATATCAGTGAACTGGACAACGCGATGCTTGCGCTGCTGCACGAGTTTCTGGATGATGCGGTTGCTGAAAGTCTGCCCAGGAAACAGCGACTGCAGCGAATTCAATCCGCCAGGAGAGAATCAAAACGATCGCCCTGGAGAGTTTCTGGTAATCTGTGACAATTCTCCATCGCACTGGGGTCTTGATATCAGCACTAGGTCTTCTCAGTGTTGCGCGTGAAGCAACAGGAGTCCTCTGACGACAAAATTTGAACTCGAAATACACGAGTCGCCTAGGAGTTTGAGGCACTGCATCCTTTGGAGTTTGAGCCATTCCTTCCTCAGTATCACGAATCGACAACTGAAGGACAGTGTTAGGTACCTGGGAAGTGTGTTCCATTTTGACATTATTTGAATTTGTTTGGTAGGCTTCGGAAACGAAGCGCACATTTTAATAAGTCGGACCAAGTATAACAATGACCGATGTTATGAACCCTCTAAGATTCTCTAAATTGTCAGGATCGTACGACCACACGGCACGAGGACAACTCTTTTCCTTTACACAGTATATTTCACTTCATCTGATAATTAACAATGAACACTAATAACAGCAGCTATTTATAGCATGCAGAAACAGCGTACATGCAAAAAACATACGCATATAAAACTGGACATAACAGCGTATACAGCAAAACGCACACAGCGCATATAGCGTATGCCATGCAGCAACATCAGCGGTACGGCGGAGTCGAAATACAACATTTCAACGAATACAATGCCATAAGCGCGAAGGCCTTTCCCAATTGAGAACTGGTGGTTTGCAACATTCTCCCCACCAAAGGGCTTCTCACCGCCGTACAACAATGCACACAAGTCAAAAATGATCCGGGGCTCTGACTACGCGCCCAGAACGAGTCATCGCCTGCTGCCGTGGTGGTGGTAACGGTGCTGGCGGTTCATACGCCGGCTGCTGAGGGACGATAGCAGGTTGAGCGGTATCGGCAAGCCCAGGAGCCACGTCCTGTGACGATACTTCTAATGGCACTAACCATTGGATCGGCCTCAACAGGGTACTGGTACTCAACTTAACCTTGGCAACACGACGCTTGCCATCTCGACCAGGGAATAACTCGATGATCCGTCCCAAACGCCAGAACTGTTTGCGCTTGGTATCATCGAGAACAAAGACAACATCACCCACAGCTAAAGGGCGCGACATGGTCTGTTGGTGCTTGTTCAGCTGACTTAGGTACTCCACCTCCCAACGATTCTTGACATGCTTCAGTGTCTGACTGAGGTAACGCAATCTCGCTGACATATGCGTAGCGTCCGGGGTACCTGCTGGCTTCGCTGACGACATCCAAATGTTACCCATCATCATTGCAGGGGTTACTGGTGGCTCATCCAGGCTATCAGACACATAAGTTAACCCTTTGTCCTTTCGCCCATACTTGAACCGTACACCTGTGTACGGTTCAACCCACGCATGTTCAAAGCGACCTGGAAGCTACGCGGATCACCCGATCCACATGAAAATTCACGTGCACACAGCCTATGCTATGTAGAGGATGATGCACGGGTCGCTGGGGCTAGTTGCCATTTGAAAATTTTCAGGAAATCAAAGTCGAAGTTTGCTTGCGCCGTAATTTCCGACATGGCAGCACGCAGGTCGCTTGATGCAGATGAAGCGCTTGTTTGAGGATAGCTGGAGTGACCCGAGTGACAATCCTATGTCCTCTGATGACGAGGACGAACTGGACGAAGCCTTAGTTGAAGGGGTTGATTCTGATTTTGGTAACGATGCGGACTATGATGTTGTAGCCGTCGGCCCGTCGATCCAACTGTCGGACATGTCGACCACTCCGATTTGAGTGCAGGATCGGCAGAACAGCACTCGAGTGGTGAGGAGAGTGTACCACCGCCGTGTCTTACCCGTTGTGGAGCAGCAGGGCCAGCTAGAGTGCCGCAGCACGTGGAGCGGGAGCGCAGTTCAATCCCAGAGAGGTCCAGATCTCCGTCACCTGCGCGCCGTCAAACTCATGGTCGACAGCCGCGCAGAGCGAGGAGAGTCGCCACACGGGGCCGAAATGTCGAGCCTGCCGCCACTGTCGCTCCTCTGGCTAATGCTCTGTGTTTCTCCAACATGCCAGTGGTGCTACTCCAGGTCACACTTGTACAAATTGCACATTATTTATACATAGGAAAGAACTTGAACTTTGAATTTTGCCGATTTTTGCCAAAAAATCATTTTTGATACTCTTGATTAGCCACACCCACCTGAGGAATGCAACCCAAACAGCATTTTTAGTTCACAATTATCACTAGCTTTCAGGAAAACATAAAGTGTACATACAAAATATCAGCTGCTTGGGTATGGTGAGTGGATTTGTTGAAGCAGGTACCCCTCACATACATTTTGGGCAAAAGGACAAAGGGTTAACGGACGACTATTCACCACTGCTTCAACCTCATACAAGATGGTCTCAAGCTCCTGAACCTTCAGAAACGCTGTTCCCATTACCTTTTTCAAGGCACTCTTCACTGTACCAACCATTCGCTCATAGAAGCCTCCATGCCATGGTGCAGCTGGAGGATTGAACATCCATGGCACACTCAGTTTGTCAGATGCCGCCTTGAACGTTGTAGCGTTGTCAGACCTGATCCGAGACGGCAAACTACGTCTCGCGACAAACTTCCGAAATGCCATCAAGAATGACTCGGTACTTAAACTATCGACCACCTCCAAGTGAACTGCTCTGGTGGTGGCACACACAAACAATGCTATCCATACCTTCGGAGATGACTCACCACGGCGCACGTACAACGGACCAGCATAGTCGATGCCGGTAGTTGCGAACGGCCTCTCGTGAACAATTTGGTCTTCTGGCAGCGGCGGACAGACTTCTGAGGCAGCCTTAGCCTTGTAGCGGCGGCATGTAACACATCGCTGAGTAATGTTGCGTAGCGCTCGTCGACCACCGATAATCCAGAATTTCTGACGGATAAACGACAAGACTCCTTCTACACCTTGGTGCATCCTTTCAACATGCATTTTCTCCAACAGCAAATCGGTCAGATGATGTTTGCCTAACAGGACTGGGTGCTTGGCTCCATACGCCAACTCGCTGTGCTGAAGTCGTCCCCCGGCTCTGAGCACTCCATGCTCATCCAGAAACGGTGCAAGCTGATACACCTTCGACCCGGGCTTCACTGGTTGACCTTGTTTGATCAGCTCAAGATCTTCAGCGAAACATGCGGCTTGAACGATGCGGTACAATACGTTGTCTGCTGCAAAATAGAGTTCAGCACGAGGCTCAGTGTGCTTCCACTGCAACATCCGAGTCACCATGCCCTGTGCCCTCGACCATTTACTGAATCGGAGCCACCATTCCTTATCAGATTCTCGACTACAGGTGGTGGCTGACACTCGTACTTCTACACTGGACTCATCTGTAGCTGCGGTTGAGGATGCGGTGGGCCAGTCATTGGGCTCCGTGATCCAGGTTGGTCCGCCCCTCCAGAACGGACTACGGATCTGCTGTGCACTACTCCCACGCGACGGTAAATCTGCTGGGTTGTGAAGGCCCGGGCAATGGTTCCACACAATGCCGACCTTCTTCGATATCTCTTGGACTTGACTGACGCGGTTAGCCACAAATGTTTTCCATTTGTACGATGGATTACTGATCCAATGAACGGTAGTGAGACTGTCAGTCCAGCCATAGACTTGCGTGACGGTAACACGCAGCTCCTTCACCACAAACTCAGCGTAGCGAGCCGCTAAACATACTGCTTGTAACTCAAGGCGGGCTAACGTGGGCGGAGACACAGGTGACACTTTGGCCTTGGCAAATACCAAGTGCGACTGTCCATTGACGACTGCATACAAACAACATCCTAACGCTTTCTCACTGGCATCGGCGAAGGCATGAAGCGCAATCGGCGTGTCAAGATTGCAGCAAATCCAACGTGGTATGTCAATGCTCACCACTTCGGCCAACTCTCCCCACCATTGCGCACATGCGGCTGCGATGCCATCAGGCAACATATCATCCCAGTCGCCTCCGACTTTCCAGGCTTGCTGTAGCAGTATCTTTCCCGGCACAACTGCCGGTGCTGCTAGACCTAGCGGATCAAACACTGATGCAACACACTTGAGGAGGGATCGCCGGGTCCAAACAGACGGCCTATCGGACTCGCCTAGCGCTGCTATGCTGAGCAAGTCATCACTGGTTTTCCATTTCAGACCGAGGACTTTATCTCCGGCCTCTGGATCGCACGGGATTTCGTTGCCTCGCCACTTGCGTAACTCCATGCCAGCATCCGTAAGCACACGCACGCTGAACTCTTGCATCTCCTTGGCTTCCGAGGCATTTG